CGGGCCAAGAGGCGCCCAAGACTGTCCAAGAAGCCCCCCAAGAAGGCACCAAAACGGCCTAAGAGGGCGCCACGACGGCCCAAGCGGCGCCACGACGGCCCAAGACGGCCCCAGGACGGCCCCAAGAAGGCCCCAAGAGGCCCCCAAGAGAGCCCAAAGACGGCCAAAGGCAGCCTAGTCCCTTCACCCCCGCAGCCCAGAAGCTCCCAGGAGGCCCCAAGAGGCCCCCGAAAAGCCCCAAACGGTCCCCAAGAGGCACCCAAGAGGCTCCCCACGAGCCCCCCCACGAGGCTCAAAATACTCCCAAAGGCTCTTAGCACCGCGGCTCCCAAGAGCGAGCGGTGACGTAATCGAGCTGATAAGACCAAAGCTCCCAACAGAGAGCTGGAGCGCTCCAAGAGAGCCCAAGACCGCCCAAGGCGGCCCCAAGACGTCCCAAGAGGCCTCCACGACGCCCCAGGAGGCGCCCACGAGGCGTCCCAAGAGGGCCCCAAGAGGCCACTTTCATTGATTTTCTTAAGGAAAACGTGCATTTTTAGCATATATGACTTTTCGCCTTTCATGGCGTGGAAGACGGTCCAAGAGGCCTCCAAGACCGCCCCAAGACGGCCCAAGATGTTCCCAAGAGGCCCCCAAAATAGCCCAAGAGGGCGCCAAGACGGGCCAAGAGGCGTCCAAGACTGTCCAAGAGGCCCCCAAGAGCGCCCCAAGAAGGCCCAAGAGGCCCTCAAGAAACGCGCTCAAAGAAAGCTCCGCGACTCTCCGAGGCTGAGATAGGACAAGAGCGAGGGGAAGGGAGTCAATAAGAGGTGTAAGAGCGGACGAGCCAGCGATCTCATGCGCTCTGAAAGTAAGTGCGCTTTCCGTCCCCGTGCCAAGCATGTCTAATTGCCCTCCCGCCTTGTTCTTTATCGAGTAGGACGGCCTTCGGGGCTTAAAAACAGCGTTTCGCTCGAGACATCATCGGAAAACGCTTCTGGGGCGCTTCTTGGGCCGTCTTAGGCGCCCAAGACAGCCCAAGAAGCGGCCAAGACGGTGCCCAAGACGGCTCAAGACAGCCCAAGAAGCGCCCACGACGGCCCAAGAGCGCTCCAAGAGAGCCCAAGACCGCCCAAGGCGGCCCCAAGACGTCCCAAGAGGCCTCCACGACGCCCCAGGAGGCGCCCACGAGGCGCCCCAAGAGGGCCCCAAGAGGCCGACATCATTGATTTTCTTAAGGGACGCGTGCAGTTTTAGCATATACGGCTTTTCGCCTTTCATGGCGTTGAAGACGGTCCAAGAGGCCCCCAAGACCGCCCCAAGACGGCCCAAGATGTTCCCAAGAGGCCCCCCAAATAGCCCAAGAGGGCGCCAAGACGGGCCAAGAGGCGTCCAAGACTGTCCAAGAGGCCCCCAAGAGCGCCCCAAGAAGGCCCAAGAGGCCCCCAAGAAGGCACCAAAACGGCCCAAGAGGGCGCCAAGACGGCCCAAGAGGCGCCAAGACGGCCCAAGACGGCGTCAGGACGGCCCTAAGAAGGCCCCAAAAGGCCCCCAAGAGAGCCCAAAGACGGCCAAAGACAACCACCGGAAAGCCCCAAAAGGTCCCCAAGAGGCACCCAAGAGGCTCCCCAAGAGCCCCCCGAGAGGCCCAAAGTACTCTCAAAGGCTCTTAGCACCGCGGCTCCCAAGAGAGAGCGGTGACGTAATCGAGCTGATAAGACCAAAGCTCCCAACAGAGAGCTGCGGCGTAATACGTTCTTGACGCCAGGGCTCAGGGACGGGCGGCAACGCGTGGACAACGAGCGGTCCACGCAAGGAAAACGCGGGGTTCTGGAAAGCTGTCAGCCCAAACGCGGAAAACGCAACGCGACCCGACCGCCCCCTCCAAAACAAGGAACGCGCTCAAAGAAAGCTCCGCGACTCCCCGAGGCTGAGATAGGACAAGAGCGAGGGGAAGGGAGACAATAAGAGGTGTAAGAGCGGACGAGCCAGCGATGTCGTGCGCTCTGAAAGTAAGTGCGCTTTCCGTCCCCGTGCCAAGCAGGTCTAATGGCCTTCGGCCCATCCCGCCACCGTGCTTGGGTTGAGAGCATACAGCCTGTTGGATGTGGTTGGGATCCCCAGGGGGCCTCTCGGGGTACGGATATTACCATCACTCTGACATCGACTATTGCGACGACGAAAACGACGACTACCTACTACCACTTTTCCTACTCCTACTCCTATTCCTACCACTACTCCTGCTCCTGCTCCTACTTCTACTCCTACTACTACCTCGATTCATACGACTACGACTTGTACTAGTTTTATTAATCTTTTCATTGCTACAACTACTCCTAATACTCCTACTACAACTACTACTACTCCTACTCCTACTCCTCCTACTACTACTACTACTACTTCTACTACTACCACTACTACTACTACTACTACTACTACTACTAATACTACTACTACTACTACTACTACTACTACTACTACTACTACTACTACTACTACATCTACTACTTCTACTGCTACTACATCTACTACTTCTACTGCTACTACTACTACTACCACCACTTCTACGACTACTACTACTACTACTACTACTACTACTACTACTATTACTATCATTACTACGTGCTACTACTTACCATTATTACTTCTATTACATCTGCTGCGACCACGACTTCTACTTCATCTACCACTTCTACTGTGGTAACACTGTTACGATGATCACGAATACGGCGACCACCATGAGTACTCCGAGTGCCACTGCGATCATTAATCGGGCTACGACTACCATTACTACCACGTAGAACGATTACTTCGACGACGATGACGGCTCCTATTATTATTATTGCCACCACTACTACTACTACTACTACTACTACTACTACTACTACTACTACTACTACTACTACTACTACTACTACTACTACTACTACTACTACTACTGCTACTGCTACTACTACTACTACTACTACTACTACTACTACTACGACTACTATTGCTACTGCTACTTCGTCTACTACTACTACTACTGCTACTACTACTACTACTACTACTTCAACCACTGCTGCTACCACGACAACAGCTACTACTACGACAGCTGCTGACATTATCACTCCTAATACCACGACAACAGCTACTACAACGGAAACAGCTACTACTACTACTGGTACGATTGCTTTTGGTTCTTCCAGTATGATTATTCGTACTACTAAGTCTACGCCCGCTACTACTTCACAGCTACTACTACTACTGCAACTACGACTACGGCACCGACGACCACTACTGCTACCACTACGGCGACGACGACGAAAACGACGATTACTATTTCTACTCTTATTACTTCGATACGTACGGCTACGACTAATACACGTTTTTTTCTATTGCCAGTACTACTACTACCACTACTGCTACTACGACTGCGACTACTCATATTACTACTTCCACATTTTGTTTTCATTACTGCATGCTACTTCTTACCGTTACTGCTAATACTACGATCACTTCTACTTGTTCTGTGTCTGCTACTTCTACTGTGTATGCCACTGTTACGAGTATTGCGAAGACGACGACCACCATTAGCACCAGGAGTATTACCACGGTCATTAATAGGGCTACATCTACCATCGCTACCACATAGCACGATTACTTCGACGAGGACGACAACTTCTACTATTATTACTATTGTTACTATTATTGTGGTTATTACGACTGCTACCACTACGACAAAAATTGTTATCACTATCACTATGACCGCTACTTTTTTAGTACTATCTTTATTTCTGTTAGTACTACTATTACTACTACTACTACTACTACTACTTCTGCTACTACTATTGCTGCTACTACCACTACCACTTCTCTCACTGCTACCCATACTACTACACCTACTACAACTACTGCTACTACTCCTACTACTACCACTACTACTACTACTGCTACTACTACTGCTACTCCTCCTCCTCCTCCTCCTACTACTACTACTACTACTACTACTACTACTACTACTACTACTACGACCATTACTGCTAAAACTACTACTACGACTATGACTACGACTACGACGACTACTACTTTTACTACTGCGACGACGACTGCTCATAGTGTCATAACTATTTTCATGTTCCTCGTACGTCTACTCTGGTCGTCATTTCCAGCTAGTGCCATCCCAAGTGCGACTACAAGTGGCCTGGATAGTACACCCTTCGTAACCCGCATAGGTTCAAAGGACAAATCAATGGTGCGCGCGCCGACGCGTACATTTCCAGTTTTTTGCTGTTTTTTTTGTGTGTTTCCGAAGCCCAAAGGTTCCACATAAACCTACCAGCTTTATTTCGAGAACTTTGCAGGACGACCCCGTCTGAAACACTTGCAACAGTAACCCTTGCAAGGTGATGCAGTCCCCTCTGCCGCCAGGAAATGTAGCAGTTCATCGGGGAAAGTATGAGAAATGCGGGACGGCCAGGCTGGCGCCATGGGGCGGGAGGATCCATGCCACGTGTCTAGCCCCACCTCCGTTTTTGGAGCAATTCTCTTCTGGGAAGGCCACGGGCACAGGAACTTGGAAGAGCAAACTGATTTCGTGTTGGCTGGGTGCGCCGGGGGGCCACAGTTTTTGTTTCGCAAGATGCAGCAATATCGAACAGCAAGGGCCCGACACACACCAACCGATGCAAGCGGTGGCGGATTTGGTCAGACTGGCGCAGGTAATAATTGGGCAAAAGGTCATTATACGGAGGGCGCGGAATTGATCGACAGCGTGTTGGATGTGGTCCGCAAGGAAGCAGAGGGATGTGTTTGCCTTCAAGGGTTTCAAATGTGTCATTCACTCGGAGGCGGCACTGGAGCTGGCATGGGGACGTTGCTTATTTCCAAGGTGAGAGAGGAATATCCCGACAGGATCCTGGAGACGTTCAGTATCATTCCGTCCCCAAAGGTTAGCGACACAGTCGTGGAACCATATAATGCGGTATTGTCTTTCCACCAGTTGGTGGAGAATGCCGACGAGTGCTTCTTGCTTGAACGAGGCCCTTTATGACATATGTTTCCGTACGCTGAAGCTGACCACGCCCACGTATGGGGATTTGAACCACTTGGTGAGTGCAGCGATCAGTGGTGTTACTACTTGCTTGCGCTTCCCGGGGCAGCTCAACTGCGACCTGCGCAAGATTGCTGTGAACCTGATACCATTCCCGCGCCTGCACTTTTTCATGACTGGCTTCGCGCCCCTCACGTCCCGTGGCTCCCAGCAGTACCGCGCGCTGACCGTGTTGGAGCTCACGTACAAGCGCTGACCGCATTTGGACGGATTACTTTGCCCGGGAGGCGCTGCCCCGGCGCCGTCGCCCCACGCACGGGCCCGCAGCATCGCTGGCACAAGCTTTACGTTTCATGGGGTGGTCGTGTGCGACGGCAGGTATCCTCCAGCGGCCAGGCCTTCCTGATCTTGATCTTTGGACTCTCAGTGGGCGCCTGCTGGGACACGAGCTCCGCCAAGGCTGCCGGAGCGCACTTTGGAGGCAAGTTGCCCGACGCCAGCTGTGGTACCTGGACGGGCTGGACCCCGACGCGGGCATCGACCTCGACGCGGCCCTCTCCTTCATGAAGCACAAGGGAGCCGACGCCCTCTCCGACTACGAGATGGGGGTGCTACGCAGCGTGCTCACTGGAGGCGTGCGGCCGCAGTCCCGGCTATTCAAGGCTGGCCTCGTCGAGTCGGCGACGTGCCCGTTGTGCCAAGCAGCGGAGGGCACGCTCGGGCACCTCTTCTGGGAGTGCCGGTGCACGGCGGCCCTTCGCCGGGAGCTGCCGCCAGCCGTGGTGCAGGCAGCCCAGAACGGCACCCTTCCGCGATGCCTCACACGGTGTGGTATTGTCTGTGAGCCGCCGGAGGTCCGCGAAGCTGGTGGCTGGCTGGCTGCCGCCGCGCCGGGCCAGGAGCAACTGCTGGGACAGTGGCGACTGCGGGTCTCTCAGCAGGCGTGGTATCGCGGAGGCCGGCTTGTGATTGCCACGGACGGGGCGTGCTGGAACCAGCAGCTGGGATGGGCTCGCCGGGCCGGTCTGGGCATCTACGTGGGCCCTCGGTGCGGCAACCTCAGTGCAGCTCTCCCCGGCATGGATCAATGCAGTGGGCGCGCCGAGCTCCTCGCCATCATTCTGGTCTTCGCCGAGGCCGGCCGGCTGGGGCTGCAGGTGGAGATCTTGACGGACTACGAGTGCGCCGCCAAGGCTTGGGCAGCGTGGAGCGGAGGCCCGTCCTTCCACCCCAGGGAGCAGCTGGATCTTTGGCGCCGCCTGGAGCCCCTCGCGCGGGCGGCCCTCGCAGCAGGTTCCGCCCTCACCTGGGTCGCTGCGCACGGCCGTGCGGCACGCGAGCAGGAGCTGAGGTGGAACAAACTTGTTGACGACCTCGTCGTGCAGGGGTCCAAGCGGCACACGGGCCTCCAGCGCCTGACCCAGGCCATCCGCCTGAAGGAGGCCAACCAGGAGAAGGCCCAAGCCGTTCAACGGCATATGGTGCGCTGCGTCGTCCTGTGGGGCCACCAGGAGGAGGAGGAGGAGGAGGAGGAGGAGGAGGAGGAGGAGGAGGAGGAGGAGGACGAGGAGGAGGAGGAGGAGGAGGAGGAGGAGGAGGGCGAGGAGGGCGAGGAGGACGCGCCAGGTGGGCCGGGCCCCGAAGACCCGGCAGCAGCTGACCCACCCAGTGGCGAGCCGGCCCCCTCCGGCGCTGCACTGGCGGCGGCGGCGCTCGAGCAGGCTGATTTCCCTCGGTACCCTTGGCAGTGCCAGGCCAGGGCCACACGCCAGCTCATCCTGGGGCCCCCTGTGGCCCTCCACAGTGGGAATTGGATGATGGGGAGCCACGACAGATACCACGCCATGCGCTGGTACCTGGGCCAGCTCCGGTTCGACGCTGCCGCCTCCGAGGTTGGCACCACATGGGCCGAGCTGGCCGTGGATTTCGAGCTCAGCGCTGGCGTGGAGCTAGCTCCGCCTGGCAGCGCCATGGCCTCGCGGGCCCAGAAGTTTGCAGATGTGGCCTCTCGTACCTGGCAGCTGTCCACGCCCAGGCAGCAGCGCCAACGCGGGGGCAACAGGCAACGGGCGCTCGGGGACCTCACAGTGGTCTCTCGGGTCACCGCCCTCGTGGCGCTCGGCTTCAAGCAGGGCCCGGGGGTGACCTCGCGTGCCATCTTCGTGCAGCCCTTCACGTATGAGGTGCTGCTGCGCGCGGCGCAGCGTGGACAGGCAGAGAGGCGCCATGCTCACCTCCAATGGCGGCCAGACTACGCAGGCGGCCCCGCACCGACCATGCCGGCAGCTGTCCGGCACGGACCGCCGGCGCCACCTGTGGCCGCTGCCAAGAGGGTGACGGCTGAGAGGATGGCTGCTGGGCACAACGCCGCCGCCGAGCGGAAGCGCCAGGAGCACAATGCCGTCGCGGACTCCCAGGGCCTCCACGTGCTTGGGCCCATTCCCCCGGGAGCTGACAACTCCCAGCCGGTCGTCTGCGAGCGCTGCGGGCGGCAAGCGCAGAAGATGCGCCTGGCCAAGTTCAAGCGGGAAGCTTGCGCCGCAGCTTCGGGAGGCCGAGGAGGAGGAGGCGGGGCCGCGCCTGCGGTCCGCCGAGGGGGAGGGGGCGGAGGCCGAGGAGGAGGAGGAGGCTGAGGAGGGGGCGGAGGAGGAGGGCGCCACGCAGATTCCCCACAACCCCAAGATGCAGCCAGTTGATGGGGAGGAGGAGGAGGAGGAGGAGGAGGTAGAGGGAGAGTGTCGCCAGGCAGCTTGGCTACCACAACCGGGAGATGCCGGGTGACGGTCGCCTTGCTGGGTGGCTGAATGGATGGTCTGCCGTTCCGTACTGGCAGAGCTTTTTCTCCTTTGTCCTGCAGGTCAACACTGTGTCAGGTTCCTCGCAGAAGCACCGCCCCCGCCAACAAATGTTCGATGCCAAAAATATGATGTGTGCAGCTGGCCCTCGCCATGGCCGCTACCTGACCGCGGCGCCCCTGTTGCGCGGTCGCATGTCCACCAAGGAGGTCGACGAACATATGCTTAATGTGCAAAACAAAAACTCTTCATACTTTGTGGAGTGGATTCCTAACAACATCAAGGCTTCTGTGTGCGACGTCCCCCCAAAGGGCCTTGATGGTGGGTGCTGCGGGGCGCCGCGCGGCTGGCGGAGGCGCCAGGGGCGGGGGCGCTGCCCCGGTGTGCAGGAGGTTCACGCGGAAGACGTGCCTGAGCGCGTGCAGCGAGCTGCCGGGGGCCCCCGCCTCCGCCGAGGCCCGGGAATGGCTGGGGCGGCAGAGGAGCGAGAGGAGCCAGGAGGTGGGGGCCGGAGCCCCGGTGGAGGCATGGCCGTGCCCCTGCTGCGGCCTCCGGGTCACGGCGGACAGCAAGGAGCAGCTGTTCAGCCGGAAGAGCGCGCACCTGCGGAAACTCTCGGCCGAGGAGCGGGCCCGATGCCAGACGGCGCGCACGCCGTGGCTCGGTGTGAAGCCGGTGGCCGGCAGCCCGGAGGAGGTCCGGGGTTGGCAGTGCCCCCTCTGCGACAAGGCGCTGCCGGCCTACGTGCAGGGCCGGTGCCTGCCCACAGCCCGCCAGAGGCACTGGAAGGAGGACCACCCGGAGGTGACTCGCCAGCAGTGGAAGGCCGCTTCCATGCGCGCGCACGACCCCGGCCGCCACGGCCGAGAGTCCGCGGAGGCACAGGCGGCCGCCAACAAGAGGCGGATCGAGGAGGAGGTGCGGCGAGCTGGCCATGACCCCGTCACGGTCGAGGGGTGGTCTGCCTCGCGGGGCACGGGCCTAAGGACAGCAGACAGGCGGGTCACGGTGTGGTGCAAGAAGTGCTGGCGCCACATGGAGAGCTCCCAGGCGCGGGCCACCCCCTGCAAAGGACAGCCTGCGGAAAGGTACGCCGGGCCAGCCTCCTTCTGGAACAAGGTCCAGGCGACCGGGGGCGACGCTGCCCTTGGGCGGGCGCCACGGCGGCACGGCTGAGACGGTACTTTGTGCCGGACGCCCTCGAAGGGAAGAAGCGCCGGGCGCCCCGGCAGCCCCTGGGCCCAGACGGCAAGCGGCGCAAGGACGCCTGGCAGGTGGCTCAGCGCCGGGCTGCGCGCGCTGCGCTGGGCAGGCCTGACAAGTGGGTCAGGAGACGGCCCGCGGCCCGACAGCCAGGGGCCAGGGTGCAGCCCGCCCTCGGGGGGGCCTGAAGGGGAGAAAGGTTCAGATCCCAACCGGACGGTTCAGATCGCAACCGTCAAGGACACGTGGGACGCGTGAGATCCCAACCACTTTGGACCCTCTGAAAAGCTCCAACCTCTGCAAGGTTCTGAGAGCCACTGCGAACCTCTGAAAGATTCTGCGAGATTCTGAGAGATCCTGAG